GAATGCAATACAAGTGTGAACAACTAAAATTAAATTCCACATAGACCTCTCGAAGCTGAACAACTAACATAAAAAAAAAAACTGCTTTTTAATCTTCCGACTTACCATCGATTCAACCAAGATTCGAACCCAAGTGAAAAGGAGAGAATGAAATTTCCCCCTCCAGTTAGCTGAATTTGCCATTTCCTAAACATAATCCAACAACAAACACTTTACAATGAAAATGTCACACATTATGACCTCAAATTGACAGCAAGAGGACAAGAAAATCTTCTGGAGAATGATATTGAAGTCCAGAGGTTCCAAGCATTTAGCATTAATTTCTCCGGAAATGTGTCTAAGCAAAGCAAGCAGATCTGCTAGTAATTAAACAGAGAAAACATGAAAAAACGACAATCTTATTATTATCAGTGATTTGTTCTACATGAAGGATAACAAGCCAGAAATTCATAAGAACTCGGCCAAGACGCTCTACAGACAATTACTATAGCTTGAGCTGCAGCAAAGTAGAAGGCCAAATGGGATTCCATTCTCACTCTGCTTTTTCTGCCTTTTCTTCCTTTGTTCCCTTCACTTCTTTGGCATCCTTCACCTTAGGTTGCCCCTTCTTAGGCTTCAAAAAGCAGAAACATGAGCAACAAGGGCACTGGAACAAGAACTTCATTGTGTTTCCTCTGCTTTCCTTTTTTTCTCAAAGTGTCCTAAAACTCGGGTGTATAGAAAGAAAAGATTCCTTCACTATTGCAATTCCTTTCTATCTTCTTTCCCATCGGATTCCACTTCAATCATTTTCAGTAGAGAAGATGCTGCCAAATAACGCCAATGTGGCTCCTGGTGGGGCTATCCATAGGCAAAAAGATAAAGCTAATTTCCCTCAAATTCTCAGTAGGTTCTTCTTGTGGGTCACCTTTACCACAAATCAGCTAGAAAGGAAGTGCTCCTTTTGATTTCCTTGCTTCATTAAAATGATTCTTAAGCTGGCAAGCACTACTGGATAGGTAGATTCTCAAAACCTTTGCATGTGAGTAGAAAATCAATATGGGCTACTTAAACATCATTGAATATGGATCATGCAGGACTATTTTCATGATTAGATTGTTGAAGTTGAAACAACTAAAAACAGACATTATACCATTACTTTTCTCATTTATTCTCACTTTTTGGAGAGAATTAAAGGTCAATCCATCCTAAGAATCATGATCATCAAGAACGATGAATTGAGAAACTAAATTAAATAAAGTTCTTAAAGAATGTCCAGAAAGAGGTTCGCACTTCTAGGATTCCCATAGATTAATCCTCAGGTCATGTTTGGTTGATAGCAATCACTATTCCTTAGTCAGACTATGAAAGTAAGTTAAGCTAGGAATAGCTAAGCAAGAAGCTTTAAATATTGAAATACAATTTTCCAGCTGAAAGCATAAGGATAGTCTTCCAGCTTATGTGACCCAATTTTATTAATATATATACGTTTACGACAACACAAAGACATTATGACTTTAAGCAATTTGGTAATACATAAAGAGGCAGTAAAATTCAAAGCCGGGAGGATGGTTTTAAAGATTCAGGCACCTTGCGGTAGTCATATACCCCGATGCCACGTTTTTTTCCAAGGCGACCTGCATCAACATACTGCACAAGTAGGGGGCATGGGGAATATTTGCTGTCCCCAAGACCTGCATGTAGAACTCTCATTATTGACAGACACACATCCAATCCAATGAAGTCTGCAAGCTCCAAAGGACCCATTGGATGGTTTGTCCCCAACTTCATTCCTGTATCAATATCTTCCTTTGTTGCTACCCCAGTATAAAGTGCATGAAAGGCTTCATTTATCATTGGCATCAGGATCCGATTCACGATAAAACCAGAATAATCCTGAGAGCATATTACTATCTTCCCAAACCTGCAAATTTAACAGTCATGATCAAAATGTCATTAATATCTTATATGAATCCTAAAAGTAGCAGCTAATTGGAAAACAGGAAACTCAACTCTCAAGAATCCTTTTTCTCAGGCCATTTTAAAGCTAATAAGAAACATAGAGAAAATGGGGTATATGAATGATTAAAAAGTTGAACAAAGAAGTTTGTCAACGGGATCAAGTGTATGAAGTAGAGACCATAGACAGTAAGAAGTATAAGAGGAAAACTCAATCTCAATATGCATTACAAATTATTTCCATATTACTGTCACAACATTTTTCTGTTTAAAGTTTAAACCTCCAGTCAGTTGCCTGTAATCAAGTCCAAAACAATCATCAGTTCTTTCTTGTTTTCATCTCTTTTCCCCTGCATTTATATAAGGCCCATTAGCACTTTTACAAAGAGGCATTTCAGAAATTACCTCTCCGCCAAGGCTTTTGTAGCATAAAATGTATTGTCTGATGTGTCTGCACCTCGCACTATCTCAACCAACTTCATTATTGGAGGAGGATTCATAAAATGCATGCCAATTACCTGTTACCAAAAAAAAAGTCTCTTGAACTTAATCATAAGCCTGCAGATACCTAAAAATTTGTATACAGATTAAAAATGAAAGTCAACTATATCATTTATAAAATTGAAAGTGATTGTTAACTCTTAATTGTATCATGTACTCTCAGCATAGCTTCAGACCAGAACTAGAGAACAAACTGCGCATTACCTGTTGTGGCCTGCTAGTTGCAGAAGCTAGCCTAGTAATGGAGATGGAACTTGTATTAGATGCTAGAATGGCAGTACTCTTTGCAATCTTATCAAGATTAATAAATAACTTCTTCTTCACATCTTCAGACTCCACAATAGCTTCAATAATAAAATCTGAAGAGCAGAGTTCTTCCAAATTTGAGGTACAATGCAGACGGCCCAACGCATCTGTAGCTGCTGCCTGTCAAGTGAAAGAACAATATTCTCAATTGTATAAACCACTAACAAGAAACAATCCCTCTTTGCAATCTTTTTGTGAGCTTCTTCTAAAACTTTCATTCTCAATAATTAATATACAGGATAGAGTAACATTTGCAATCCTAATGACACAGCAAGTTGTTATCCAAAAGCTTCTTGTATATATCAGAATAAATAAGTCAGAATCAAAATTGCATTTTAACTTGAATATAATGTCACTCTTCAAAGGAGTTTCTCTCAATGTTGCTCATCAAGATTTCGCTGTTCCTTTCTTTCTAGGAAAAGAAGAGGCTACTGATTACATCCCCACTTTCGTCCAACACTTATTGATCAACAATCTTACGAGATGGACTAGCTAATCATCATATTCTTTGATAATTAATAAATTAGACATGAACCATAATATCACTTCCATTAAACTCAAGCACCAACAAAAAGCTAGTCCCACTAAAATACTCTAAAAATTGAGCGTAATAAGATTAGATATCCAATACTAATTATTTAATTACATTTTCACTTCTATCCTTGAGCAAGTTTGAGGGTTGAGTTTCAATCTAAGCATTAGCAAGGAAAATTCCAACTTATACAGAGTTACAGGTCTTTGACACCATATTTTAACCCAGAAGTTCAAACATTTAAGTACTTTACACTGGTAATTATAAATTATTCTTCTTTATCGGTTTCTTTCTGAAATTTTGAAAGTACTTCCAGCTTAATCTAAGAACTAATATAAATAAAACGCTCTTTTTTCACAAGCTCTAACAGGGGCATGTTATTGCCACACCAACAAACACCAAAGCAACACAAATTATGTTTGATTTCACTAATATTATCAGTTTAAAGCCTTTTTTTTTTTTAAACAACTTCTTAGGATATTTGACAACATCAATCTATTAAAGAACTGTTTAATATAACAATAAAAAAAACTAACTATTAATTATTATTAATAATAATTTAATCAAATTTTTTATTAACTATTAATTATCAATTACCAACATATGTGACTCTAACGTGTGTCCATTTGACAATAACCTTGCCTGTTCTAACCTAGTACTAAAGAGATGTCAGACTTTAAACATGGTACGACATATACAAAAAAAAAAAAAAAAAAAAAA